CATGGAAAGCTCCCCCCTCAGTTTAGAAAGCTCATCCACCTTATTAGAAAGCGCTGAATTGGAAGCACTTGACAAGTCGAGCCTTTGATGGAGATTATGAAAAGATTGAATCAGGGAAGCCGTCTTCAATGACTTATCTTCCATCTAAGCTAGCATAGCTCGCATGTCAACAATAAGAGGTGAACCTCCCATCAATTGAGGAGGAGGTTTCAAGGCAGCCCACAGACAATCAGAAACTCTAGCTTTCCATAATTCCCTAGGCTCCAAAAACACAGCATGCCCAAAGGGGGCGTTTGGAGGAGGAGGGGGAGGTGAAGACGGAGTAATCTGGGGGCAGTGACGACATGAGAAATGATGACCTCGGCGAAAGAACTGCCACCCATAGGGTCAAGTCGTCGTTTCTTCTTTGTAGCCTCACTAACAGTGGCGACTTCAGCCGACTTTCCCTTCGATGAAAGAGAAATTTTTTTGTAGTTGTTCGGAGCCCGTCATATCAACTGCAAGAAAAATAAGAGATTATAAAATAGCTCCAAAAATAAAGAAAAATCAAGCTAAGGCAGCTTACGCCCCATGATGAACAAACTATGAATCATTGAGCGCCGCATGGGTATGTATAACCGCTAAGTAACTGGAAAGGACAGACAATCACGTTGATATGACGTCGTTTCAGGCCCAAGCACTAACCCGACCTCTTTCCTTCATAAATAACAATCATGCAAAGGTCATAAATAAAGCCGACTTATATTAAAGCTCGGCTTCACATGATCAATGGCAACATATAATTTATCCGAGCTTTAACATATGAACCTTTTAAGGTCTAACCACGGTCAAATTTGGAATAAAGACAATCCCAGCCACAGGGCTCGGTAGAATCATCAAATCTTCCGTCTAGACTCCAAAATAGCTGAGGTCATCACAAGGAAACTACACCCCAGCAGTCCGAGGTCTCGAACTGCAGGGCTAGGGGGAAACTCTTATGGACTAGATCCATATCTCAACAACTTATCCAATAAAGGATAAGGCTTATCCAAATAATATCCTAGATAACAAAGGATCAAAGAATCACACTCCTATTAGAACTCTTAACCTACAGGTAACCCCTTCTATAAATAAAAGGTTGAAGCCTCTCAGGTACACACTTTTGAACCTAATTACTATTGCTGCAAACACTGAGCACACACTCACAACTCTGCTATAAGCCCATTGATTGTGCGGAATGATTGGTACATTAGTCTTGAGCCAATAGGATATCTCTCTCATAAATATCTCTGAGCGCATACCTTTACGGTAATATTCACGGTCTACCTAGGATCAAACACAGTACATACACGTAACCGTAACATTATTTCCCCCTGCACAAAGGGACTTTGTCCTCAAGGTCCAAAGGAGTGAAGTTTTTTTTTTAGCCGTACCAATGTGGTGGAGGTAGCCAATGAAGCCATGTTTCAAAACACATCCCAATAGATTTCTCTAGCAATATCACACAATTGCTCCCTACCTCTTTATGATAGTCTTAAGAAATTTTGACCAACCAGAAGTAGCTATTTCTATAACCAAAATACCTGTGGGAGTTGCTATTTTACTCAATAATACAAGGTTTAACTTGGGTACCTCTTGAAATGCAAAATGGACATTCTCACAATCTTTGCTACAAACGATTGACCAATGGTCTGAGATCCAAATAAAAGATTGGAGTGATTGACGACATTCTTGAGAAGTGAATCATCCATGACCTTCTTCATTGACCAAGAAACAGATGTGCATATAGCACAAAAAACAAGGTCGTTCATAACCCCAAAAATTGGTTTTCCTAGTGAATCAAATGGTGGCAGAGTTGAAGCACCAATTTCCCTTCGAATATACTTCAATAATGCTCTTGGTTCAGGTGGTTCTAAGCGATGAACATTCAAGTAGGGGTGTGCAAAAAAACTGGCAGCCCTTGATCTGACCCATAAATACCTTTTTTTTTTAACTGGGTTAAATATTGAACCACTTATATTTGGGTCAGTTTTAGACTTGACTGTTTTAATAATTGACCCATTAACCCAAAACCTGACCTAGATCTATTTTGTGAAAAAAAAAGAAAACCAAAAATCACGGTAAGGCAATTTGGGGCTTATGTTCTCTCTTCTCCCGATAAAAATGAAAACAAGCTTGTTGAGGTGTTGGAATACGAGCCAAGATAACTTGTGTGTTCTAAATTTTAGTAGTACTATCACAGATACGGTAGAGAGGGAAATTAGATCATATTATATGAGTGATTGGAGATCAATGTGAAAATATATATGTGATTCCGTGACTTTGAATTCGGAAGGGATTACAAATTCACAGGCTTTGATTTTGATACAACATGTGATATGATAATAGTTGTTCTGTCTACCTGAAGATTTTATGTGCTATAAGCCTCCAAGATTCTATGGGGTAGTCAAGAAATGAGATAGATTGCAGACACCAGTGTTGATTAAATAAGAGTTAGTCATATTATATAAATTGTTCGTAAATATCTGTTAATTTTAATTTTTTACATTGAGTAAATGGAATCCTTACGTTGATATTTTATGGGATAATTTTATGTTTGGATTGTTTTTTTTAATTTATCATCAATTTGGAGCTTTTTGGTGATCCAATAAAATCATGATAATTGCTAATTGCAAATATCAATCACGAGTTAGGATGAGCTACCCATGCCACTAATTAGTGCCATGGAATAGTAATATTAGCATTTTTTTGAAGAATAGGTATTTATTCAACAAATATCAAATTTATTATATAATTTATATATTTTAAAACAAATAAATAATTAAATTACTTGAGTTTAAAAAATCAATAACTATAAAAAAATCAAATAAAAAACAAGTTTTGAAACCAAGTCAAAATTGGATCAGTCGGATTTGACCCGATTTTGAAATCAAGTCACACCACTTCAAAAACAAAGTCAAGTCAGATTTGATCCAGTTCTGAACCAGTTCAAAAAAAAAAATTCAAACCGAGTTAGACCTGACTTGGATCAAATTAAATTGGGTCGGGTCGAAATACTTGACCTATAAATCAAGTTGGGTCAAGTCGGTACAAAAACCCGACCCGACCTGACCTGATTCATGCACAACCCTACATTCAAGGATGATGAAATGTCGGTAGCCTGATGTCTAGATTGTTGATGCAAAGGCTCCCTTGTGCGTCCATCCATGGCTAACACAGTGGTGTGAAGATGCTGCATTTGAGCCACAAGAAGAGAAATCTGGTTTGGGTAAACATCGAATTTGGTTTCCAAGTGTCGCATTTGAGTTTGTGTGTCATCCAACTTTTAACACGTAACTGAAATGATTTAAATTTTTCTATAAGATCTTAAAGACTCATCTTGAAGATGGTGGCTTGTTCAAAATGAAAGCACGCACCACTTTTACTGTTGTAATCGGGAGAACTGAAGACAATTAAGAAATTAAGGGACTCTGGAAATGGATCATCTTATCTGTCAAAAAATATGATATGGTCATGTGAGAAGATCACAACCATACAAAGCTAAATCAACGGTTATGATTTCATAACTACCTATTTTATCATCTTTTCTCTCTCCTCCTTTTTTTACCATTGATCTACCTTTGTATGGTTATGATTCCCCACATGACATGGTCATGTGAATTTTCACATTAGAGAATCCGAATCCAGGGACTCTATACTGCTAACGTATATATATTCTTATGATTATTAAAGGGGAAAAATGTTTGTTATTTTATATGAGATAATTTTGTGTTATTTTTAATGAAATTATGTCGTTTTGATGTGTTTTTACATTTTCTTTCCTCTACTTTCTTTTTATTTCTAACTTTATAAAAAAGAAAAAGGGTAAAAGATTTCTTCAGTTAATAGAGATAAGTTATATCCAGTGAGCCCAAAACAATGTCGTTTTGGGGCGGAAATTAATGTATTTTTGTAATTATAATATATTGTAGGATTATATTAGTTTTTATCATTATAAATTTTTTATCTTATAACTCTAAAACGACATCATTTTGAGCTCACTGGAGAAAACTTTATCTCTGGTGACTGGAGATATATTTTTCTCAAAGAAAAAGGGTAAAGGATGTAGTTTAATTAAAAATGACACAAAGTTATTTCATTTAAAAACTCTTATTTATTACAAAAAAAAACTCTTATTAAATATTGAGTTTTATTACTACCATTACAAGAAAAAAACAGTGGGATACAAAAATCGAAATGAGAGAACATGAAAGACGTTATCTTAATTAGGGTAACTACCAATGTTACTATTAATCAATTTCACCGTTAGATCGACTATGTTGATCTAAATGTTATATTTATTTCCATCTTTGTATGGTTATAATTCTCCATATTTAATGTGAAAGCATTAATTATGGGAAATCATAACCATACAAAGGTGAAAATAAATATAAAGTATTAAATATGGAGAATCATAATCATATAAAGATGAAAATAAACATAACTGTTGGATCAACGTATTCAATTTAACGAAAAAATTGATTAGTAGTAAGACTAATTGATTGTTACAATATATTTTTCCTGAATAATAGGAAAATATTATACTTACTAAATTTTTTTTCTTCTTATTACCTCTTATTACCAAATTTTAATAATTAATTTTTGCTAATCTAACGGTTATAATTTATTGAAATTTAATAATTAACTAATAAATATGATCTAATAAATTATAACTATTAGATTTATAGAAATTAACTATTAAAATTTGTTAATAAGACATAATAAAAAAAATAATAAGTATAATCTCTTCTTAAATAATATATTAGTTTTATAAGAGTTATGTTGTAGGAAAAGTGATTGTATAATGTTATAGAAATTCGTTGTACATATCTTAGTTTTTTTCTTTTCTTCAAAAAATATGAGTTCCACAAAATATTATGTGTGTAGAAAATTTTTTTGTGTGATCTTGGATGATGAATGCAAAGCCCGTAATATATTTGTAAATGTGAGAGGAAACGGAATAAGAACCTAGTCAAAACAAAACCTCATCTCAGTTCTCTTTCTCTCTTAGTTCTCCAAAGCCACAAATGATGTCTCTCAGGCTAACCTCTTTCACTCACCTCTTCTCCTCACCCTCTACCGCCACCATTTCTCGCCGTTCTACGGCTATTCTACGGCGGCGCCGCCACTGTCACCAATTCAGACCACGAATACTCGCAGCCACCTTTTCCGTCCAAGGTGCGGCAGCGGAGACCCGGGACCGAGTCGATAACTCGAAGAACAAAGTCCCCGACCGAATCATCACGCCAAGGTCACAGGACTTCAATGCATGGTATCTCGACGTTATAGCCAGCGCCGAGCTAGCCGATTACGGTCCGGTTCGCGGCACAATGGTCATTCGCCCCTACGGTTACGCCATATGGGAATCGATTCAGGTTCGTTTTCATTTTCTTCACTCGTGTTAATTTTCTTTTTCTTTTTAGTTTTTTTAATGTTTTTATTTTGTTGTTCATGTAGGAGTATTTGAATGTGAAGTTAAAGGAGACTGGGCACAGTAACATGTATTTTCCTCAGGTAAAGGTTCTAAATTCTGATTTTTTAATTTTTTTTAATTTTTGAAATTGACACCTTTGGCTTTCAATTGTTAGCTTCACTAGTGAAAATTGTCGTGGCCATGAAAAATCAAAATCATTGTTATATCATAATGATTAGTTAGTTAATTAAAGTTTAGTTATCATAATTAATGATACATATATAAACGAAGGAGAGAAAGTTGGAGAAAGAGAAGTAAAACGAGAACCACCAAGTAAAACGATAAGTAAAGTTTAGTTATCAACTCGGAATGGGTTGTTCTCGCTTAACCAGTGGTCTCGATTTCGAGTGTCTCAGAATGTAGCTGTGTTAAAACTTGGTAGGGAGAATTTTGTCACTCATGTGATCCTACCTAACTCGAATCTGAATAGTTGAATAATCGACGAACAAATGGATAATATAAATAAAAAATGAGAGAAAACTTACATTTTGAACTTGAGATTTTCTATTCAGTAAGGAATCAGATTAAACGACGGGAATTATAGACTTGAGCTAGCAGCTCTAACTGAATATATTCAGTTGCACTAGCTGTAACTGATCAAACCAATTAAAACAGAAACAGTAACTGACTATCAGTATCTCACATCAATAATACAACTGAGATACTAACACACAGTACATATACAATTCAAACACTAATAATAAATAATTTATGGGTAAAGTGTGTGTTATTTTAAAGGATGTAAAGTTGTGTCATTTTAAGATAGAGAAAGAGATAGATAAAGGAGGAGAGAGAGTTGACAAAAAAAATAAAGGTGTGCGTCCCACCTCTTTGTGAGAGTGAAAGGATATAAGTTGTGTCATTTAAAAGGATAAACATTTTTCCCATAGTTTATTTGCCTGGTGCACCAGGTTTATGCAAGTATTTCTCCTATTTAAGAAGCTCACTTGGAGTTGATTAGGTGATTCAAGCTACTATGTTGAGTATTTGCTTGAGTGTGGTTTCATTAATAGTTGAGAGGAGGATTACAAATGGTTTGTATTTTTGTAATGTTTCTTACTACACTATGCTGCTATTTTGTGCCACGTATAGTATTAGAAAGTGAGGGTTGTACAAAGTGAGATCTTGATAATGTGGTATATGATAAGGACCATGACATGAAATTACAATATTTATCATTTGCTTGATGCTTTTTCTCCTATCTGTGCTGCAGTTTATCCCATACTCATTTATAGAGAAAGAAGCAAGTCATGTTGAGGGTTTTAGTCCTGAGTTAGCCCTAGTGACAATTGGGGGTGGAAAGGAACTTGAAGAGAAGCTTGTGGTATGTATTGTCTTCAACGGTTTCTTGGAGTTGATTTTATATACATTTTTTTAATGTTTATTGTAATGTATAAGCTGAATTGAAGTAATTAATCATCTGTAGTATTGATTGAAAAGATGTGACCTAAGGTTTTGTCTTTGATTTGCACTTCTTGAGGCTGTGGCAGGTCCGACCTACAAGTGAAACCATTGTGAATCACATGTTTACTCAATGGATCCATAGCTACCGTGATCTTCCTCTCTTGATTAATCAGGTATTGTGGCTTTGTTTGGCAGCAAAAACTTGCTTTCTTGTATGATGGGATAATGTTACCAACTTTCTTTTTTTAAATGAATTTGGTTCAGTGGGCAAATGTCACAAGATGGGAGATGCGCACTAAACCATTTGTGAGAACTCTTGAATTTCTTTGGCAAGAAGGCCATACTGCTCATGGAACTCCAGAAGAGGCAGAAAATGAGGTCCACATCTTCTCTACACCAAGATGATAAAGTCTTTACTAGTATATTAGCATAATCTGAGTAACAATATTCTCTTAATTGCAGGCTATACAGATGATTGACATCTACACCAGATTTGCTTATGAGCAAGCTGCAATACCTGTTATTGCAGGTCGAAAATCTAAAGTGGAAACATTTGCTGGTGCTTGTAAGACCTATACGATTGAGGCTATGATGGGTGACAAGAAAGCATTACAAGCAGGAACCAGCCACAACCTTGGGCAAAACTTTGCCCGTGCCTTTGGAACACAGGTATCTGATGTGCTTCTTTCATTACTGCAGAATACAAAATATTTCCTTCCTGTGGAGTAATTGTTTTATTTGATTCTTTGTGCTCATGTGACTGCATGCAATAAATTTGTCATTGAGATATTATGTTTTTTGAGTTATTTATTTGGGAAATTAATTTCTTTCCCCCATAAAGCTACAGGTAAGCAAGCTTGATTTTGCAACCTCTCTGTCTTTTTCTATGTTTCATTAGTTTTTTCTGCAAGATGTATTATACAGTCACGACTTCTTACTTGTCACTGTTGAATTTTACACCTTTGAGGTAAATATCTCAAAGTTCTATTAAAGTGAGACCCTTTTTTTTTTTTTTTTTCTCATTTGTAGATGTATGGTTAAAAGTCCTCCATCTGAAAATAAAATTTCTGATGTTGGATTAAGAAAGCTGTTATGTATAAGCAAGAAGAGGTAGGATGAAGAGAGTGGCTATAGTGACAACCACTCAATAAACATAAGTACATAATAATCCTTAAATAGGTAAACACAATTGGTGGTCCTAATATCACTGGCACAAAAAGCCCCAACTTGAGCCAAAGTAATCCTAATTTTAAATAAAATTATAATTTAAATTGAAACTTTTGGAGAAATCCTAAACAACTAAGCTACTAGTAAATACCCACTGATGCTAAATCCTCAATCTATTAAAATGTGATATATTGCTGTAATTATAATATTCCTTTCCGTGGTCCGTTGTGCCTACTCATTCTCCTTCGGTTGCTTTTGCTATAGCATGTAACTCTGATATTTTTACTAATACCAAACCATCTAAAGCATGAATACATACTGGAAGGACTAAACTGGATCTTCTAATAGTTGCAACATGGAGATTCTGTTTTTTTACCTATTTTTGATTTATTTAATTTTGCTATTTATCCCATTTCCTTTCTTTTATCGGGTCTTTTTCCTACTGTTATTATTATTTCTTTTTAAAGTATTGATATTATCCTTTCATTGAGGATGCACTCAAAATGTATGTTTGTGCAGTTCACAGATGAAAATGGACAAAGGGAATATGTTTGGCAGACATCATGGGCAATTAGTACCCGTTTTGTTGGAGGTATCATCATGACACATGGAGATGATGCAGGCCTAATGCTTCCCCCGAAGATGGCACCGATTCAGGTACATCCGGATGCTATTGATGTCTAAATCATGTGGTTGAGACATCATTGTTTAGTTAAATGTAACTGTTGGAACACTTTAAGCCTTGGACAGACAGAGCTGGTAATCTAATAATGTTCAGTAATGTATAATTTGCTTTAGCTGAATAACTTACAGAATATCCAAAAACACTCTTACTCAACACAGAACCTGCATTCTTAGAGTGACATACTGATATTTATTTGTAAATCAAAACCTACGTCTAAGACATTTTGTTGAAGTGTTATGTTTGTAGTCCTCACTTCATTTTCTTCCATGAACTTATAACTTCTAGTATATAGACATTTATTTATATGTGTGATTTGATTCATAACGTTATGTTTTATTACAAGTATCCCTGCATTGCATAACAGAACTTCATTAAGGATATATTTGGATGGAGAAGTTTGGAGGGGGAGAGGAGGGAAAACTTTTCAATTCTAAATTGTGAGAATCATAAAATATTTATGAAAGTGAATAAGGGATGCTTCGAGGGTTACATTATAATCTCATTTTATTCCTCTTAATTTTATAAAATTCTCAAACATAAGGAATGCTTTCTTAAAATGAATAGAATTCTCCCACTCTCCCTTCCACTCTAAACTCCAACAACCAAATATAGGATTTTGTTCCTTGCCTGTGCTTTTATGTTGTAATTTAAATGACTTTTAAATTTTATCAATTTTGACAAAATCATGTTGTGCATTGCCTGGTTTAGGTGGTAATTGTACCCATTTGGAAGAAGGATGATGAGAAAATGGCAGTTCTGAATGCAGCATCATCTGTAAAAGAAGTTCTTCAAAGCTCTGGGGTTAGAGTTAAACTTGATGACTCTGATCAAAGAACCCCTGGGTGGAAATTCAATTTTTGGGAGATGAAGGTTTGGTGTAAAATGGAAATTCAATTTCAGGGTTCAAATCTTGTGCATTGATTCTGCTCATTCCACGTTTGAGTATCTGATTATATCTACATCATTTACATCTTCATATTTCAGGGAGTTCCTCTTAGAATTGAAATTGGTCCTCGTGACGTGTCTAATGGAAGTGTGGTGATATCCAGGAGAGATATCCCTGGGAAGCCAGGAAAAGTCTTTGGAATCTCTATGGAGCCATCAATTTTGCAGGCTTATGTTAAAGACAAGTTGGATGAGATACAGTCTTCTCTTCTGGAAAGGGCTATTGCATTTCGAGACAGGTTCATTCCTTTTCTGTTACTTTTGGCTTGTGACTTTTAAACATTATTTTGTCTAACTGAAATGCTTTGAATTCTTCAAAATAGTTATTATTTATTGGTATTAGTCACATTAATCATCTCTCCCCTAAAGTGTAGAATGTTAAGGCAGCATAACCTTTAGTTGAGGGCAAAATAAAGTTGTACTTTGCTTACATAATTTCCACCAAGAAAATTCTGTGCGCGCATTTTGGCTTCAGTGTCAAATATATGGTTTCAGCTAGACTAAGTTTAGTAGGTCTTAATTATTGTCCTGCAAGGCACTGCAATTAAATGGAGAGCAAAGAGGTTCAGAAACTGAATATTTTGACTTGCCCCTAGGATATATATGTGCGCCTTGTACCAATCTAATTGATGGTTCTGCATCTAAATTTTATGTAATTTTAGCTGTGAATTTAATTTCTGAACGATATTTTCCAGTGTGGTTTACTAATTAAATGGATATATTATAGGATGACGGCCTATATTTTCACGTAGTTGATCTCTTCAAGATTGTTTGGGCCCAGTTAAATAGTTGAGAAAAAATTCCACCAAGCTGTATACTTGCTATACTGATTAAAATACACTAGAATGTCATATGATAGAATAAGAACTGCCTTTAATGCTTTGCCGGTGACAAAAATTATTCCAATCTCTTCTAAATAGGCAATCAATTGGAATGAGGGTTTCCCTTGTTTATTAGGGTTTTATTAAGAATGTTTCAATGAATGATTTCCGTGTGTTATATTATAGACTTGTAGACCAATGCAATCAAACTCAATAGCTTCTTGCTTCTGAAATTTAGTAGAAATTTCATTTTTTTTTAATATTTCACTCTTTTCAAGTTATGCTCATTCCATTGCACACATTTTCAATGGCATCCCCGGCAAACAGGCAGATTGACATGCACAGTATTTCTTTTGCAGTAATATTATAGATGTGAGCACATACGATGATCTTAAAGCTGCAATATCACAAGGCAAATGGGCAAGGGGCCCTTGGTCTGCTAGGTTGTAATTTTTTTAAACCCATTTTCTTCTGTAAACATGTTTTGATGATGGAAACATAACTTCTTCCAGCATATATAGTTAAGCACCATGATTCAGGAATCTAATATCAAGCTTATACAATGTCACAGTGATGAAGATGAGTTAAAAGTAAAAGAGGAAACCGGAGCAACTATCAGGTGTTTTCCTTTTGAACAGCCAGAAGGGAATAAAAGATGCTTGATGACTGGAGATCCTGCTCAAGAAGTGGCTATTTTTGCCAAATCTTACTGACTCTGCAAGCTTGTTTATTCTTTAAACTCCCAAACAATATGATCTGCAAGCGGGTTCTTGTACTTAATTTTCTGTTTGAATTTTTACTGGCTTTTTTGGGAAGTCAATTTTTTGTTATAACTTAGTTAAGTTATTAAGAAAAATGTAATATATTGATTCAGTGTAACTTCTATTCTTTGTCTGTTGTCATTGTTTAGAAAGATGATTGAGATGATGCTGTGGAGGATAGAATTTGAAGAATTTATATCACTCCAGTTTGATGATGTCTCGGTAATTTATGGACGCCTTTACATAGTTTAACTGGTTTGCCTGGGTTTGTACACGGGTGGGATAAATTCGAAATTAATTTTTAAATGGAGTGCTAAAATATTTTATGTTGCTTAGTGTATAGTGGCTTTTTGCCTTCATTTGAATTCTTCAGAGCAAGGGGATGAAAGAGTATCATCCGTTTATGTTCCCTTTTAGTAAAATCTTTATTTTGATTAAGTTTGTTAGAGGACACCCACTAAAATGTTTATGTGATCCTCACCGTTGTGTCACATGCTAGGATGGGGTAGCTGATGAATCAGAAAAGAAACCTACTTTCATGAGCAATCGTATGTCAAATGATACCTTGAAACTGCGCAAGCACCCTAACTTCCAATTAGCAGTACAAAACTTTAGTATCTGAAACTCAGAAATAATCATTTCTACAAGCGTTTCAGGACCATCACTCCAAAACCAATACCAAGAAATGTTGCTACTGAAATTCCAAAAATGCCTGTAAGGATTCCAGGAACAACTAAAGATTCCCAGCCTTTGGCCTTGGCCATCCCACAGGCTGTTGTAGGACCTCCGATATTGGCATTTGATGCTAAAAGTAACAGCTTCAGATCAAACTTAAACAACTTTCCTAATCCAAGAACAATAACAAGATGGATAGTTACTTGAACTAGGGCAAACATGAAAATACTCGGGGCTGTCTTGATAACATTCCATATACTTCCACTAGCTCCCACCACCACAAAAAATACCTGGGAAATGCATCTGATGTTAAATATTATAGGCCACAGGATGTTAAAATTTTTCATAGAATATCAATTAGAAAGTGCAATTCATCTTAGAAAGTATAAATTCCCAAGGTTATTTAAAATCATCTCATAAAAAGTAATATTTGGAAGTGCTTTTCAAATAATATAATGTGACATGGAAGAAAAGCTGTCTGGACCAAAGAAATCAAGCATATTTCTTAAGAGCACTTATTAGCCACTATTAGATTCCGTATTTTATATAATCTTCAAAGTGGTGGCACAAGCATATTTCATGATAACTACTGACCTCATTATTATGGCATGCTGGAAAACACTGAAATATATATTACTAAGTCAATAGATATCTTTTGACTGAGTATCCAATCCAACAACAAAAATGGGTGTCAATATACACGTTGCCAAAAACAAAACTTAGCTATGCAAGCTCCAATATCATAGCGCCTCAAGGCATACATCTATAAAAAAAATTCTATCATCCCAAGAGCCTTAACTCAAGCTAGAAGTCCTTATGAAATTGCTTGATTCCAGGATCAAATTGCACCTAGGCCACTTAGCCTACACTTAAAAGCCTACCCTCCTTTTCCCCGTATTAGAATCTAGGTCTTAGACCTTCCTCTGTAAACTATTTAAAAAGACTATTAGAACAGAAATATTTTGAAATCATTTTGGTCCTTTTCAGTATTCCAACCAAGTATCTAAAATGTTAGATATTACTAGTGTCTAGTAAATTTGTAATGTCTGACACGCTATTATTAATAGAGTATCCAGTCAATTACTTGGATGGTCAGCTCCTATTGTCTTCCAAAGAGAAATAGCTTGGGTTATATGCATAGTAACAGGATCGGAAATGAAAACTTTAGAGTATTTATAAACTGACAGCAGAAGCAGCTTTAAAGCTCCTTTTATAAAAAAAAAAAAGCATAAAAAGTTATACAACCCCAAAATTTATCTAATTTCATTTTCTGTTTGTTTGGATTTATTTCGAAATTGAAACCTGTTTTCAACAAACAACATAATCAAATTTCGGTCCACCTGTTCCTGGAACCCTTCACCCCTGTATATAAACCTGATCCAAGTCACCAGAAACCTTAAAATCTAGCCTACCCAAATATTTGGAACCTAAAAATTCACCTGCTCCCCCTTTTTACTACTAGTCCTACATCAACCACACTACCAATAAAAAAACAAAAACAAAACAAACAACACAGAGCAAGACATTTCCACAGCCTTAACTGTAATTGCCAAAATAAAGAATTTACATACTTGATAACTCAGGATCACAAAATCCACATCCACAGCTATCTACTGAAACAAAGTGAAGCATAAGAACCTCCAAAGTTTTTGTTACCTGCATCAAAACCAGTGCAACAGTATGACCAGCTGGTCCAAGGGGACCAATCTGCCTTGGGAGAAGAGTGGCTAAAATGACTATGATGGCAGTTACTCCTGGGAGAATTCCTCCTTGGATGCCATATAATTTTGATAGGTATTTGGCAGCCCCACATATCAAAAAAGATGTAGCCAATGCAGTAGCAGTCTGCAACACAGGTATGTTTCCCTGATAATCCGACTCCATCATATACATTGCATCATCTGCCAAGATTACTTATAAAATCAACAGAAATTTCCATTCCAGAATGTGTATTTGATTATTTGGTTTCTTCATAATGAATAGACAATTTTATAAAACTTACATAATCAACAAAAATGAATAACTTCATTAAGATCAATGTCTATTGCTTTCACTATATAAATTTCCAGCAGTTTCTGATTAAATTCCTCATATATAAGGAATCCTACTCCCTTTTTTTTTCCAACTCCTTTCAAAATCTGAAGTATCTTTCTTTTGGGAATAAACAACTTTGCCTTTTCCCCTTATTGAATTATCACAGATATTCGCAAGACAATATCTGTTAAATTAAATTTATCGGTAAAAGTTAAAAAAGAAAAAAATCATTTCATGAATAACACTGGAAACAATCTACATATGTGAGTGTTAGTGTGTTCATTCTGACAACTTATGCAAAACCAATTAGCATGCAAATTTGAAATATCTTAATCTCTTTTTTCCCAGTTAATTGAAAGATCCTAATCATCTTGAAATAAAATATCACAAATTGTTAAATGTATTATGACCAAATATTAAATTACAACTTTTCATACTACCCACTGAAATAGAACATTGGTTCTACAAATTCTTGCTAGAGCTCAGAGAAAACAACGATAAACAGCTTATATTTTAGAATATTGTTTAAGGATCTGAAAGGAAGAACCAAGTAATGTAGCCAAACAGGACGTAACAAGAACGAGAAAATTGTACCAGTGGTTGGCGCTGCAGCCTCAGCAGGTATTTTAGAAGCCAATGCAAACAATACCATAAAATATATAGCACAGATAACATTATCTGCTGCCACTCCTGCAGCTAAAACTGATGCAGACACACCAAGCGCCTCTGAAATTGCAACATAATTAACAGCTACAGCAATCAACAAGAAAAGGACAAAAGAAATTCATTCAGGGATTAAAATTATAGTTGTAAAAATCAATGTCCACATTCAAAATAATTTAACAACTGAAAATTAACACATCAATTTCCATGCAACCTAAGTATCCATCATGTTAAAACTTGCATGAAAGGATATACTTATGGTCTCAATCTCAAGTATTCAATGGTACATAAATGCTTCATCCCCATTGCCATCATAGTCTTGTGTATTCATCTTATTTGGGAGCTAAGAGTTCAATATTGAAGAAAGTTTACTTTCCATTTTGTCTTTTGTTGAACCATGCTAAGCATTTCAGCAAAAGCTAAGACTAGCTAGAAGAATGCTAATGTTTTGTCAGGAAGGGTTTGGGGTAATCTATTCTATGGAAAACCCCCTACATTGCAGCCAGAGAAAAATGAAAGGATAATCTGGCCAAGTTAAATCTGTTTTAAAGTTATATGGAAGAATCTCGTCAGAAAATAGTATATAAGTACTATAAGCATGCAGAGGATAAAATAACACAAAATATAAATCCAAATAACATTATAACCATTTATTAGTAAGGGTAGATTATTGTTATCATAAAAACTTCAATGAACTTCTAATTCATATCCACGCATTAGGTCCAGAAGCAAACTACAAGTTAGCATACAGCAAATTAGTTTAAGCACTTACATCCTCCAATATAGCTACCCATGAGAGCAGCAGCTATTTTCCAGTTGTCAGGACCAAGCGATCGCATAGGCACTATAAGAAATGCCACTAGAGTGCCAACAATAGAAGCAACTGCCATCCATAAGATCAAAATAAAATTACAAATAACAAAAAGTTTCCATCCATTCTCTCAAATAACGATAGTACTTTTTAAAAAACAATTATGATGTCAAGATTAAAATACAAATGAATCAATCCATTCTCTCAAATAACAGAAAATAGTACATTCCGAATCTAACAAAAAATAGGATGACCATTTTGAGCAAGCCATTCTCAAATTTTCTGAGAACCACAAAATAGCTAGAGTAGTATTTCTGGTAATGGTAATGTTTAGGTATGCATGAAGTTGCTATTAGTATCACCTGACCCAAGTAAAAAAGCTAAGAGTAGTGTCCCAGTTGAACGCACCACATGCTGCAAGTTTGCTCCAAACAATAGCAATGGAATAGATATGGGTAGCAGAAACTCCAAGACAATAGAATATGCTGGAGAATCAAATGGAAGTATTCCCAGATTACTTGCTGCAAGACCAACTAACGTGCTCACCAGAGCAGCACTTACCATGCTCCCAATCTTGGTCTTCTCTGACCTTGCATTTCACATCAATATATCTTCATTTACTACTATGATAACCAGGACGCCATCAAGAACAGAAGAACCTATCTTTCTATATACAATAGCATTCCAAAAATATGTGTCAGATAATAAAAGTAATTTGAACCTCACATTTCTTTGTTACCAATTCCAAATGGCTTTCAAAATATTAAGCATTTTCCAACTCCACAATGAGTGATTTCAAAGCATTAGCTAGCACTGGCAATGTTGGTGACAAAGTTCGAATGTGCCAAGATTGAAGACCCTAGTCTCAGCTTTTAGAAAGAAGAAAAATGTAAAGAACCTTGGGATACACCACCCCAAAAGCTAGCTCTAAGGGTGGGAGTGCCCAAGGCGTTATAAACTCCACATTAGTTGCACATACAACCAATGTGGGACTATATATCTCAACACGCTCCCTCACACAAGAGCCCTTTGGGCTTGAAGCGTGGACAATGCGACAGGCCCAGCCTACCTGTGCTAAGAAACTCCACAAGAGAAAGTGGGGGACGGCGAGACTCTGATACCATGTAAAGAACCTTGGGATACACCACCCCAAAAGCTAGCTCTAAGGGTGGGAGTGCCCAAGGCCTTATAAACTCCACATTAGTTGCACATACAACCAATGTGGGACTATATATCTCAACAAAAAGTATAAGGAGAAAGACATAGGAACCATGAATTGAACCTTTTATATTCATTGTAGAAATTCTGCTTTGCTGATGGAAATTAATACAAGAGACTGTGAAGAACATTGTCAAGAGTTCTCAAAAATCAAAACAGTTTTGGGAATTGCAATGCCCTGTAGAGGTAAAAAGATAATCTTTTCTCCCCATCATATTGGAAAAATTACAGGAAAAAAAAAAAATTCTGTTTCAATAATCATACGAAAGGTAGGAACTTTGAATTCAATATAAATGTCACTTGTGCTTACTCAACTGGGTTTGATGATTGGTAGAGGACTGGAATGTAACATGATAAAGACACTTCATAAATGAAGTTTTATTAAAATATGTGAATATTGTCATATGTTAAGTGAAATTTTAACAATCCGTTCTGAGTAGAGCACATTCAAATCTCTTATAAACCCAACATATGCATATATCTCACAGCCAAATAATATCATACATATACTTGAGTTTCCAAGATTCTTGGAATTTAAGATTCGCCCAAGGAACATAATTATTTGTACAACTAAGCGAAGCTGCTTCTTCAAGCAAACTAAAACAAGGGTTTTGCTAAGGTTAAGGATTAAAACAAGGAACATAATTATTACTTTTTATGTTATTTTTTAGTTTTGAAGTAACAACTAAAAGTTACTTCAAAACTAAAAAATAACATAAAAATTAATAATTTTCCCCTCAGTTTTTAGAGGAACCATACAAATGGAGGAAGGAAAACAACTACCAAATTGCAAATGATTCAGCTAAGAGAGAGAGAGAGAGAGAGATGATTACCAGAGACCAAAAGCGCCAATGGTGAAGAGAATGGACCAAATACCCCAGTGGTCATCGGGGGATACGATAGGGTGTCTCAGCTGTGACCTCAACGCAACACTTCGATTTGAACGAGGTTTCTTCGAGGAAAACGAGGTCAGCGTTTGTGTGGTCGTGCTTTGAAGTAGTGGAGATGTGTTGACGGTTCTATGGATAAAACAGTGGGGTGACAGGTGGCACGACGATATTGGTCGTGACAGAGAGAGGACGGTGACCGCCGGCACTCCGGAGGTAGCCATTAGTAAGGGTAGATTCTGATGGGAGGTGAGTGAAGTGGCTTGTTATCTGAGTGCATTTCAAATGTTCATTTCATTTCATAGTACAAGATGACATGTGATGATCACGTGGCAAAAGGCCATGGATTAACACGTTTATCGCACGTGACAAGTTCAGGTTTCATGGCCACAACCTGGGGTTTTATTTTGTTTTTTTCTAAATAATATTATAAAAAAATAATTTGTCTCAATTGGTACCTGTGCAAAAAGTCATTTCACGTGGTTTCAGGTGAAATATTATATAGAAATGCTACTACGTGATAATGAAATATTACGTTAGTGTGTTGCTTACATATTTCATTAGCCACCCATGGCAAAAAAAAAAAAAATTACAACTAAAACAAAAATAATAAACCTTTTTTAAAATATTATATCATAGAGGATTTTTTTAATGTGCTCCATGAGCACAATATACTTGATGGTCTTTTATCAAAAGAGGAATTTTTTTCTTTTATTTATATCCTTTTCTTCCTTCTAAATCTTCTCCTAATCCCTTTTCCTTTCTACTTTTGGAAAAGGAGTACAAATTTCCATAGCATAATAAATGAGCTCTATCATAAAAAAACTTTGTCAAAAGTTTAGTATATCCAAGGGCTTTATTACTCTCAAATAAAAAGAAAAAAACTTTCTCTTGCACTCATATTGATATTTGAGCTGCTCTTTATTTTCTCTCTTGGTGGGTCCCATTTTTGGTTGAGTTTATAGGAAAATGTTTTATTTTTCTATTATTGAGAGTAACTAGTATATTATTCGTGCTTTTGTTGTTCGCCGTGGTTAGTTAATCACACTGCAAATCTTATACTTACAAAAAATTGTGTTACTATCTTGTTCAATATTTCATGTGAAAAAAACTACAGCATTGATACAGAACTTTGCAAATATCAATCATAAACAAAAATCTGCTATCCAGAGTGATCAATATTATGCAAATCAAATATAGTTATCTACTCGATGAGTTATGTAAAAAATAAATACGCCATAGTAGATTATGTTAAAATGAGGATGGCTAAAAAAAGAAAAATGCATACAACTTATTGCTAACTATAACAGCCACCAATAAAATCAAGGTAACAAACAGACCAAGAAAATATGAAATTAAAAGATCAGCTTGTACCTATAATAAGAAAACATTATTAATTCAGTGTCATTCAGTGGCAATCATTGGAGGGATAAGTTCAACACATACCAAACGTGATTTTCTATGTTTATGCATTACCGGGGACTTCCTCTTCTACCATCATATTTATGCCTACGATACAAAATGCAAATGCTCATTAAATAAATTACGCTAATACGTTAACACCCAGAAGTAATAGTCTCAGAAAAAAAAATTTGGATTATTTTTTTAGAACCCAAAAAACGTTGTCTGAAAGAGATTTGAAAGAAAATTAACCAAATATTCATGTATGAGTCATATTTTTTGCTTACATTGGAACAAATATGTCTAAACAGCATCAAATCAATACACATGCTAAACATTTGTAACAATATAAAGAACCCACAATGATAAATTTTTAAAAAACAACAACATATATTCGAGTCCACCAAAGACTTAAGGAATGAGGTGACAATAGCTTCGCTGCTTCAAACTCTTGAAACTTGATATCTTGGCTCATTATATGACTCCAAATTGTTTTTTTTACGTTGACCTTAAATAACATGGACTTTTCATTAAGAACATTAAGTTCTCTTGATAATGTTCCAAATCAGCACCCTACATAAAAAAACTCCTTCAAAATTAAGTATTACTCGTGCGATGCACAGGGAAAAAAGAAATCGGTTTGTCTGTCTCGTAAAAGTTAATGCAAATCGTAAAAATATATCTCTGCATTTTATTTAAATAAATACTGTTAGGTACCTAACTCCAATTTTTTGTACATATAGAGTTGGCAAATATTTGAGTTATTATGTTTAATATAAAAGAAGAAGAGCAAAATTTTAATTTAATTATAAAAAAATATTGGCGGGCCAGTCCTTCGGACCGACTCCAGTTTGCAACCTCTAATTGTCAGCATTATATACCAGCATGTAATAAGTTTTTATATTTATCCACACGAAAAAGTTCTTATATTTAAGTCTAAGTTTGTATATTTTATCTCAGAGATGGACATTCATTTATTACAATCAGATTTATAAAATAATAAATAATTATTTTTTTGCAAGAATTTGTGTCGTTAGTATTTGAAATTTTACAAATTTGTATTTACAAAAATTAAAATCAGACTTAGGAATTTAATTATAAAAGAAGAAGGATGAAATTTTAATTTAATTATAAAAATGTGTTGGTTGGCCGACTCTCCGGGCCGAGCCCAATTTGCCACCTATAACTATCAGCATGCAATAGATTTTTGTATTTATCCACAAAAAAAGGTTCTTATAGTCACATTTAAGTTTTTATATTTTATCTCAGAGATAGACTTTCATTTATTACAATCAGATTTAAAAAATAATAATGAATAATTATTTTTTGCACGGATTTGTGTCATTTGTATTTGAAATTTTACAAATTTGTATTTACAAAAATTAAAATCAGATTTAAGAATTTAATTATAAAATAAGAAGGATGAATTTTAATTTAGTTATAAAAATGTTTTGGTGGGCCGGTCCTCCGGGCCGAACCCAGTTTGCCACCTCTAACTATTAGCATGTAATAAATTTTTATATTTTTCCACAAATAAGGCTCTTATAGTTGCGTCTAGGTTTTTATATTTTATCTCAGAGATGAACTTTCATTTATTACAATTAGATTTATAAAATAATAATAAATAAATATTTTTTTGCAAGAATTTGTGTCGTTAGTATTTGGAATTTTATAAATTTGTATTTACAAAAATTGAAAAATTTGAATTAGGAATTTAATTATAAAAGAAGAATAGTGCGATTTTAATTTAATTATAAAAACGTGTTGGCAGGCGAGGCGGGCAGGCCCTCTGGGCCAAACCCAGTTTGCAACCTTTAACTATCAGCATTTTATGTAAATAATTATTTTTTTGCAAAAATTTGTGTCATTAGTATTTTAAATTTTACAAATTTGTATTTAAAAAAATTGAAACCAGATTTAGAAATTTACTTATAAAAGAAGGATGAAATTTTAATTTAATTATAAAAATTTGTTGGTGGGCCGGCCCTCTGGGCCAATCGCAGTTTGCCACCTCTAACTATCAGCATGCAATAGGTTTTTATATTTATCTACAAAAAAGGTTTTAATACTCACATTTTAGTTTATATATTTTATCTCAGAGATGAACATTCATTTATTACAATCAGATTTATAAAATAATAATAAATTATTTTTTTGCAAGGATTTGTCTCGCTAGTATTTGAAATTTTACAAATTTATATTTACAAAAATTAAAATCAGATTTAGGAATTTAATTATAAAAGAAGAAGGATGAAATTTTAATTTAATATAAAAATGTGTTGGTGGGCCGATCCTCCGGGCCGAGCTCAGTTTGCCACCTCTAACTATCAGCATGCAATAGGTTTTTATATTTATTCACACAAAAAAGTTCTTATAGTCACATTTAAGTTTTATATTTTATCTAAAAAATGGACTTTCGCTTATTACAATCAGATTTAAATAATAATAATAAATAAACATTTTTTGCAAGGATTTATGTCGTTTGTATTTGAAATTTGGGGATGGTTATACTTATCACTAGGTAAGTTTACCACCCTTACCACCAATCTCATAACCGTTAGATTAAAATTAAATCTTACGGTTCATAATTCTCTCTTATAATCTTAATTTTTACTCTCACATCCCCCTGTCTCTCTAGGTTTGGGATCTCCATACCTCTCTCTCTAAATTCTTTGAAAGCATAAATGTGGATACAAATTTTTTAGGACTTTGACATCCGAAAACACAAATTCAAACCACTGATGGAACTGCTCCTGCATCACCCCTTATAATTTCGAAAATTAAATCTAACGGCATGTTATCAGACAACCGAACTCGTAAAAGTCGAAATGGAATACATCCCTTATAATTCTTTGCGCTGCGTTTATTCTGAAATGAAAGAATTAATTCACGTGTCCGATTATTTGTTTTGGTGAGATATTTTTGCTGGAATTGAAGATCAAAGCACTGTAACAATAAAGAGGATGAGAGAGTTGATTTTCAAACCTAGAGAAAGAAGAAGTATGCATATCCCAAACCTAGAGAGAGATAGAAAGGGGGTGTGAGAGTAAAAATTAGAATTATAAGGGATAATTATGAACTGTTAGATTTAATTTCAATCTAACGGTGATGAGATTGGTTGTAAGGGTGGTAAACTTACCTTAAGTATAACCGTCCTTTTGAAATTTTACAAATTTGTATTTACAAAAATTAAAATCATATTTAGAAATTTAATTATAAAAGAAGAAGGATGAAATTAATTTAATTATAAAAATGTGTTGGTATGCCGGCCCTCCAGGCCGAGCCTAGTTTGCCATCTCTAACTATTAACATGTAATAGGTTTTTATATTTATCCACACAAAAAGGCTCTTATAGTTGCGTCTAGGTTTTTACATTTTATCTCAGAGATGAACTTTCATTTATTACTATTAGATTTACAAAATAATAATAAATAATTATTTTTTTGCAAGGATTTGTGTCGTTAGTATTTGGAATTTTATAAATTTGTATTTACAAAAATTGAAATCCGAATTAGGAATTTAATTATACAGAAAAATATTTCTGCAGTTAATGCAGATAAGTTATCTGCATTTACTTCCAAAACGACGTCGTTTTAGGATTGAAATATTAGAAAATTATAATTATAAAGACTAGAATTACCCTGAAATAAATTAAAATTACAAAAACACAATGATTTTTACCCCAAAATGACGTCATATTGGGCTTACTGCAGATAAGTTATCTGCAGTAACTGCAGAAAAAGTGAACCCTTAATTATAAAAGAAGAATAGTGGAATTTTAATTTAATTATAAAAACGTGTTGGCAGGCGAGGCGGGCAGGCCCTCTAGGCCAAGCC